ACATGAAGAAAATGTGGATCTATAAATCCATTCCCCCATACGCCTTCATGGCGTAGTGATTAATTAGTTAAGCATAGGGACAAACTTCACCATTAGTAGTACCAACATTGTAACCTCTCAGACTGTCGCGATAATAACATTAATATTACCTGAATTCCCGAACCAATCTTCATGAGAACTGTTATGCAAGTTATGCCATATGAGACCATCTTGACGGTGTACCTCATAATTTAGTTCTATCAGTAATAGCAACACTGCAGCCTCCAAGTTTTTTTGTTTTATTCATGTCATTACACATATATGCTACAAATTTCTTTCTACTTGCCGTAACAGACACTAAAATTAGAGTGAAAGGAAAGTGGACGATTAGTTCTTCTTAGAACTTCTTGTTGTATATAATGAAAGTTTTTTTTTTCCTTGGCACTACAGCCCCAGTGGGCCTAGATCTACCTCCATGAACTTCTCCGTTCACTTTCGGTTTTTCTAGATCTTACACATTCGGTAGGACTCCTTGGGCGGGTGATCAGCTCGTCGCAAGGCCTCTACTTGTACACAAACACAGAAAAACGCACACAAACATCCATGCCCTGAGTGGGATTCGAACCCACGATCCCGGCTTCCGAGCCAGCGAAGACAGTGCATGCCTTAGACCGCTCGGCTACCGTGACCGACATAATGAAAGTTAGGTAGTATAATTTATAACTGACATTGCAGTTTAGTGCCTAACTTCCTCACTAACCGACTATAGGAAAGAAAATATGATATACTATAGTTTTCCATCGTGCTGGTTACCCTATCAGTAATGATACTTTGAATATTCCAACTCGAATGCACACCCCAGCAATGACAGAATGCATTTTAATTAGTGAGACGAAACTCTGTCCATATCGTCCAAAAATATCTCTGTTTTATTGTCATTTGCAATTCCATTACGTTTTCGTGACGTCACACTTCGAGTTATGTTTCCTGTACTTAATTACACGTAACAGAAAACTGATGTTCTAATGAACTTTCATGTTTATGTGAGACGATTACACGTAGATTGCTACTCGTGTTTTTAAATTATAATGTGGATATGTGTGACTTGGGCAATAGCGAGACTTGCTTTGAGCTTAATGACTTTCGCCACGCAATTAGAAGATCAATAAATATTACATACGGAGATGTACGTAGTACACTGTTATGTTGGCTAAACTGTGCCCTGTTTCCTTCCAGAGGCCTGCGAAGCTCTCCGACTTGCTTTAAGTTATATTTTTATACCATATATAGAATTGATGACCGCCACTGTGGTCTAGTGGTCAGAGTTCCTGTTTACAGAACCAGAGGTCCGGGTTCGATTCCCGGCGCTACCAGATTTTGTGAGAAGTGGTGTTTCTGGAACGGGGTCCACTCAGCCTCGTGAAGATAAGTGAGGAGCTATTTCAAGGAAATAGTGGCTCCGGTCTAAAAAACTGAAATTAACGGCCGTGGGGATCCGTTGCACTGACCATGCGAAATCGTATAACTGCTAAAGTTGGCATTAACTTCGCCGACAAGCGGCGATCGTTCGGTCGGTATAGTTCGCTTGCGGACTCAAACCACGGAGTTTGTTTGTTTTGTATAGAGTCGATCCTTCGATTAACTACAGAGAAGATTATGTTATCGATGTCGTTTCTGATGTGTATTGTACGCGGTTCCTCTCTCTACCGCGGCCATATTTATGCGTGTTTCCCTGGTTTGATTCATTTCGTCCAGACTAGTTTTAGCAGAGCTGTAAAGTCTCAATATAAACAGAAACCTCCTTACAGACCTTTCCCGTCTCATGATCCATAATCATCTCTTTCAAGTTTTTCAGTTTCAACAGGCTAAAGCACTTCGCCAAAAATGTAAGAATCGCTCATCCTGGTAAAAGAGTTGAAGTGACGGGAGGTTGGAGATAACTGCGTAATAAGGAGCTTCATAACTTGTACTCTTCTCCATGTGTAATTAGAATAATCAAGTCAAGGAGGATAAGATGGGCAGCGCATGTAGCACGAATGGGGGTAGAAGAGGAATGCATATGGGATATTGGTGGGAAAACCAGAAGAGACCACTGGGAAGACCAAGACATAGGTAAGTGGACAATATTAAAATGGATCTTAGAGAGAGATAATGAGATGGTATTGACTGGATTGATCTGGCTCAGGATAGGGACCAGTGGAGGGCTCTTGTGAACACGGTAATGAACCTTCGGGTTCCATAAAATGCTGGGAAATTCTTGAGTAGCTGCAGATTTGGCTTCTCCTCAAGAAGGGCTCAGCTCCATAAGTAAGTTTTTTATTTTATTGCCAGTGGGGTGGGACTAATTCCTTTGTACTGCGGCCACTTCTGGCCTATTGTACCAGTCCCAGATTATAGGTGAGGGTGATTGTGGAGCAATTGGTGGAATGAAGATTAGCAGGTGAAATCGAAGAAAACCTGCCCCAGCGTCACTTTGTCTACCACGAATCCCACTTGACCAGACCCGGGATCGAACCCGGGCCGCCGTAGTGGGAAGCCAGCGACTAACCGCTTGAGCTATGGCGCCGCCTAGTAAGTAAGTAAGTAAGTATTTAACTTTTTGTCATATTCCGAAACTTAGGCCTTAAACTGAGATGCAGTAGCTCCTCGAGAATTACAAGGACTCAACGAGTGTCGGTTAACTTCACTAGTAAAATCAACGTTCTACTGGCCACACATTTCTGCAGAAAAACCCCCACGCTTAACTCCCACCAGCCTATAAACCAAGCAAAACATGTAAAATATTGACCCTCGTACTCTACGTGTACAAAATTACATTCACTTTTCAAATCTAATGATCGACGTTTGTGAAGGGATAAGAGCAGGAGCGGTAGAGAACATCAACGGATAAACTCAGAGATTTTTCCATTCGTATTTTTTTTTGCTCCCCACGGACGAGTGGGTATGTTGAGTTCTGATAATCAACATTTATTATTCCACAATTAATTATCTCATTCTGGCACTGTTACCGCATTTCTGTGATACACAACCAAGCAGTGGAGGGTAACAAACGAACAAACACACACACGCGTGCGCATACACGCACATGGGATATAAGATATAACTCACACTCACTCATATAGCTGAACCCTTCTTGAGAAGCTGCCAATTGTACAGCAACTCAAATTCCTAGCATTTTATGGAACCCGAAGGTTCATTATCGTGTTCACAAGAGCCCTCCAGCGGTCCATATCCTGATCCAGATCAATCCAATCCATACTATCCCATTCTGTCTCTCTAAGAACCATTTTAATATTATCCCCCTACCTACGTCTTGTTCTTCTTAGTGGTCTCTTTCCTTCTGGCTTTCCCGCCAATATCCTATATGCTGCGAATATATTGCATAAGCAGTCGCGAACAGCCGACAAAGGGTGGTCCTCCAGCTTTGGTGTTGGGCGTGGTCCTAACAACTCCTCTCCGTAAGAAAGTAAACTTGTTACGAAAGATCAGAAGAAGCCTCGGGATACAGAATATATTCTGTAAATTCCGCCAGTTCACGGTCGTATGTCGTAAACTCCTGCATAACTGATTTTGTTTCAAATGAGGCTTTTATTTGAAAAGGACGATAATGCCGATCGTGTTACCGCAAAGGAAGTTTTCTTGACCTAGTTATACGTTGTATATTGTCTGAAGAGGGTATGTAGTGTATATGGAATTCATCCCTTCCTGGAATATGTAAGGTGTCCCTAGGCCGTACCTTGTTTTGTTGACGATACAATGAGAATCGTTTCATCTGCTGGAATGAGACAGAGGTAGATGGTGTAAACAGCGCTTGCGCCGGTGATTTCGTTGGGGTGCGAGGGCGTGGCGAGGCGAGGCGCGAGTGAGGAGAAGGGTTCAGTTGATCGGTGTGTCAGCTGGTCGACGGGAGCTGGCCACGGCATTTGCAGCTAATCACATAGGCTTAGTAAGGTCTCTCTGCCTGTGATTGCGAATATCAGTGTGACACAACTTCAGACATCGCGGGTACAACCATCGCTGCAATAGCCAACATACCAACCGCCGGTCTTCATTCGTTTTACATAACACCACACTACAACTCCTAACAGCGTTGTTAAATAATCCAGAAACAAAATAACTCCAATACATGATTAGGGAGTTTCTTTCTTCTGTTTCTTTAAACCACATTCGACTAGGGGAATTATCATGGTGATTTGCCATCTTTTATCTTTTGTATACATTGGGCTGTTTTGTAGCTACTTAAAATAATTTCATACCAAGTGCTGAAGCCCAGACATACATGTATGAGAGTGTTCATATGGAAAGGCATTCATTAATTTTTATCACTAGTAATATAAAAATAGAAGTTCTACCAGGAATTGTGTAGGAAATATCCACGGAGCGTTACCAAAATTAGGAATCTGTTAAAATCTAAAACATAATTCCTTCATTATGATAACTTTAAGCACAAACAGCTAAATCCAATCTTTATCAATTAAAATTAATTGTGTGTGGACGTGATGCAAAGTGATTAATCTTAAAAACGAACACTACGAGGTGAGTGTGTCACCTCGTGTGTTATCATCTTTCGCCTAATCGAGTGACGTACATGCTGCCGGAAGTGTCTGCTGCAGCTTGGGGTGTGGTAATGTTCTGTCATCTATATTGCGGTATTCTCTACCTCATAATGGTATCATTCTAGCATCCTTTGTGGCACATGTTTTGCTTTCTGGGCTTGACTCTAATTGAAGCTCTTTTGTAGCAGATCTGCTTATTGAGAATATCATTATATCTTTTGAACGTATTTTTCATTAACTTCACCTCAAACATCATAAATTTCAGCAAAAAATATGAACACAGTTTCTTCAATTTCACTATCAGCTGATCAACATTTCTCATAAAGAAATGAATTTGTATTTCATTTCATCATGCATAAAGGGCACAATGCTTTTTGACATCTATTTTACATAAACTATATCACGTCACTCAATTCTGAGCTCCATACCTGAACATTGGGGTCACATACTTATTTTGGCACGATTCCATCATAGTTTTCCATTATCACCCACGGCAATATTCTCTACACTGCCTACATATTTCAGAGACCGAAGAAGAAAAACCATTAATAGCCACAGGGAGTTTCGCATTTAAAATTAGTTAGTTTCACATTCCGCAATTCGATAATTACGTATAAATTTTATCAACTGAAAGTGTGAAGTTTTAGTTGATTTCTATAAGTGTTACAAAGAAAACTGTTTACTACCAATAAACGCTGGAGGCTGTTGAATGAGCTCAGTTATGAACTGCGTTACCTTGGACGTGACGTCAAAAACACTTTGATTCGCAAAGACAGGAAAATCCGTGTGGCATAAACGTGATTTCCGGTTGGAGACTCGACCATGAGGAGCAGCAGCTCGGAGCTGCTCCTGGATCAACAACAGGAACTCAGGAAACGGAAACTCCTGGAACTGGCTCAACCAAAGAAGAAGAAGAAGTCACCGAAGAGGACGTGTCGGGAAAGGATATGGTTCTACACAACGTCGTTTCTAGCCATGACTGCTCTTGGAGGAGGATCCTCATTGCTTTTCCTTGTCCCGTTTTATGTGGATCCCGCCATATCCACTTTGGCGGCAGACTTTGTCTCGGAACCTGTAAAGTGTGTGACCATAAGGCGAGAAGACCTCTGCGGAATTTTCAATTGCACATGGAGTTCCTGTCGGGAAGGTTGTACAAGCGATATATACAGTTGTACTCATATTTACGTCATGTATTCAACCGCGCCGTACCATATGAAAGACTCAACTTTGATACAAGACAGTGATGACGTTGGAAACTTCTCTTCTACCGTCTCGTTATCAACCACGAAACCGACTGCAACATCTGCGGTGACACCGCTGCCTGGAGAGAATTTCACCGACGAAGCTATCCTCCTAGTGAATATCAGGGGGTGCGGATATCCTCCTGTGATTGACTGTGAGAACTTTACTGCTATGTACGGAAAAGAAAACACGGAGTTTCCCTGTTATTACTCCCGCAAGAACCGAACTGTTGTTCTCATCCATTACGACCGAGAGAAACACGTGCAAGCGATCATCCACTACTTTGCTGTGCCCTTTATCGTGTTCTTGGCGACGTCCATAGCACTCTGCGTTATGTATTGCGATTGTCGGTGTGGATCGGACCGGTCCCGTAGGAGGCGCCATGCAAGACGTTGTGCAGTCGAGGACTCCAGGTAAGTTAGTATGGCAAAGGTCAGCTTCATGCTCATGCCACGCTCTTCCTATGCGATGAATACTTTACTGAACAAAGGGACATTGAATTGAATTTTCTAATAGGCGATTTATTAAGAGACGCTCTTTCTGCTGAGTCGGTCATATTGTCGAATGGTGGGATGATTGTGTGAATGACGGATTGAAAAGGACGTGGGAAGAATTATTTGTGACTAATTTTAAGATATTATCTGAGCTGTTGCATGAATGTAGGAGAGAAAACATAAACATTTCAAATCCCGACAGGTGGTATCCTATTCGAGATTGAACCCAGAACCTCCGGAACACGAGATAGGAATATTAACCACTCAATCAGAATCTCTGGTCCATGATGGTGGTTGCTTTATTACCATCGCTTTCTCGAATTGAAGTTATGTCAATTTCACAAAGATAATTTAAATTAAATAGTTACTATAGGATTCTGACGATGGTGTATAACACACAGAGATATTGGGGTTTCGGACTTTATCCATCGTCCTGGTTTTTAAGATAACTAATAAAAACACGACGTTTCGGAAACTTGATCTATTTCCGTCCTCAGGTGAGGGAAAAACACCTATTCTGGACCAGTGATTGAGACTAGCTCTTTCTAAGGGACCCAACAGAATAGATGTTTTCCTTCACCTGAGGAAGGAAACAGATCAAGTTTCCGAAACGTCGTGTTTTTATTAGTTATCTTAAAAACCAGGACGATGGATAAAGTCCGAAAACCCAATATCTCTGTGGATAATTTTAATTAGATGCATAAGTGATTCTCTTGTTGGGCCGTGCCACAGCCAAGGCGGTTAGTAGCCAGTGTCTCACTGCAACAAGCCGGCCTCAATCCCTCGACAGTGCTTGAGATGAGAAAGTGACACTGGGGGTCACGGTACCAAAGGAATCTGTCCTACTCCACCCTAGGAATTGAAACGCCCTCGGTTCATATGCTGTATTAGAGAAATCGTATTGATTAGAGAAATCGCTATCTGTGCGAGTGTCCAGGTGTATAACCGAGAGAGAGAATAATATTGACCACACAGAAATCGTTGGGTATAAGGAGCCGCCAAAAGAAACACATTTGTTCGTATAAGCCGGGGTAGCATAGTCGGTATAGCGACTAGCTACGGGCTGTACAACCGAGAGGTCGGAGTTCGAGTCCCGGTAGGGGCAATAATTTTCTCTTCTCCACGTCATCCAGACCGGTCCACCTAACCTCGTATCCAATGGGTACCGGGGACTCGTTCCCCGCGGATAAAGCGGCCGGGACGTGAAGTTGACTACTCACCTCCAGCTAGTGCTGAGTTCAAGAAAATATGGATCTATACATCCACCCCCACCATACACCTTAATGGCGTAGTACTTAATTAGATAAGCACAGGGATAACTTCACCTTGCTTTACCTGCAAACCCGAAGATTCCTAAATCGAGGTGTTCAAGAATCAATTTAATTTCACTTAGACTTAAACGTTTGTTTGTTGAGACTCGCTGAAGGGTTTAATTGGATGCAAACATCGTAAAATATATATAGGTTTACTTGTTAAAAAAAAAAAGCAGGCGTGCCCAGTATTCTTTTGTCGCGCGAATTATTTCAGGATGCCATACTTTCGTGTGTCGGTCACGATAACGAAGCGTTCTAAGACATGAACTGTCTTCGCTTGCTCGGAAGCGAATCCCACACAAGACATGGATGTTTGGTGTGTGTGTATAGGATTTTCTGTGTTTGCGTTGTCCTGTATTTAGATAGCTGCCTTGCGACGAGCTGATCATCCCTCCAATGAGTCCTACCGTCTGTAAAATGATCATGAAACTGAGAAATCAGCCCTGTGCTCCACAGTGGGAGCGAGAGGAGAGAGAGAAAGAGATGAAGGAACTTTTATGTGAGAATGTTAATGTTGGGTGCACAGAAGGGCCCATGAGCCACAGTGACGTTAGCTGTTATTACCCACACCGAGAGCAGGCAGCAGGCCTTACAAGGCCCAATAACAAAGTAAATTTGTATGTGACAGAACATCAGCATGCTGAGTAGACTTACTGACATACCAGAACGGACATAGTCATCATCCGGCCCAGAGTAGTGAAGAATACATTTAAAATTAAGCAAACAGAATGAAGGGAGGAGAAATGTAAACAGTAGCATGAAAATGAATTCAGTGATGCGTTATTATGACTGAAAGGCCAAGTTTCAACGTTCATGTAGGCATTCTTTACAAGACTAGGAATTTTATTTGAGCATTTCTTCCTGACCTTGTTTTCGATGCGGCCTGTCATGTATCTTATGTGTGTTATTATTGTTCTTTGAACGAATTTAATTGGACTTTGCAGTTAATATGGCTGGCACAAAACATTTGCTAAAGAAGGCCCTAATTTGGGATCCGCCTGTTCTGTGATATTTTTTTTTTGGTCAGTGATACCATCGGGAATATGTCTTAACTGCAGTTTTTTCTGTATTATTCTTTCTGTTAAGTGTTCATCATAAAGGTAAACTAAAGCTATCCCTCCAACAGGCCGTGGAGGTCGATAGGTTTGTGAGACGTCGAGGCTTCCACATTTTCTAGACAGTCGGCTCACAGATGGCGGTGAGGTTGTCGGTCTTAAGCTCTGGCCGCTCTTTACCCCCAGGAAAATTCGTGGCGCTCATTTCTGTTAGAGACTGAGTAGACCCCAGGGCCATAGTGCGGCTGGAAGAATTAGGTCAAACGAAAGATCCAGTCAACTCATAGGGAATTGAACCCGCGACCTTCCGGCTTGTAACATAGTGTCTCAACCAACTACGCTACCGCGAGCCCCTTTTTCGTTCATTACACAAAATTTAAGTAACCACAGCATACTTTTATATGTGACGGAACCCGTAAATATTTGTCCGTAAATTTCCTTGAAGATGGAGGCAGCAGGTTCCTCAGAAACTCTGGTACTTATATACTGTATCAAGTTACAAGTCGTCATGTTTCAGATAACTGTAACCTTCGTACTTACCGCTACGAGAACCTCAGACTCCACTGCATTCTATAACACTTCCAGACGGTCCTGATCGGGGTACAGGACCTCCTGACACTGAGAACGAATATCCTTTCCATAGTCCTTAGTAAAGGTAAAATGTAAAGTTGTCCCTATACTTATTTAATTAAACACTACGCCATGAAGGCGTATGGGGAAATGGATGTATAGATCCATTTTTTTTCTCGATTTCGGCACTAGTTTAGGTGAGTGGTCAGTTTCACGCCCCGGCCGCTTTACCCCGGAGAAAGACCCCCCTTCTAACCATTGGATAGGAGGCTGGGTGGACCCCAGAGCCGGTCTGGACGACATGGAGAAAAGACAATTCTTGGCCCTACCGGTACTCGAACTCCGACCCCTCGGTCATCCAGCCCGTATCCAGTCGTTATACTGACTACGCTATCGTGGCTACTCCATAGCCCTTCGTACATGAAATAAATTTTGATTGCAAAATGCTGTTATCTTATTCTATATTGTTCCATGTCTTTACTTACTCTTTTCAAGGTCATCTTAATTTTATTTTCTCTTATATCTTACGCAGAATAAAATGATTCCGTGATGACTAGAATCAAGGAATGCTTCTAGTGTTCAAATATGACACTAATATGTTGTGAGACGCTGAATATTATTTCAATAAATATAAACTTTAAACTGGAATTCTCATCTTTGAAATGTCGTTCGCCGCCAAGGAAATGTTACCGATGTCAGAAGTCTTTATTAGTAGTTTTCGGGAAATAATTTCTGACAAATTTTCGTAATGTGAGTTAAAAATTTAATGTTACGAGTAAAATATATATGAACGTTTTAAACAATCCTGGTATTACAGCTTGCTGTCTTAATATCTTTCGTATTTAACGAGAAAGAACAATAAACTGAAATTATAATTTTACCATTTTTTATTTTTTTAGACATCATTTTTATGACATATTACGACGATGTCGGTGTTTCAGGCACTATAATGTAGCTTCTACTCATGAAATGGTTTGTGAATAATGAAATAATGATTGGAGGGAATTTGGAAGAAGCGATCATCGCCAGATACAGGTATTATCCCGTCATTTTCTTCAAGCGACTGTGGAAAACCAGGACAAACCATAGTCCTGTCCGAGATTCGAACAGAGCACCACATGATCAGAAAGACCTTGAAGGAGATTGGACAACGAATTTCTTGTTACGGGCATAACTGTAGTGTCTTAATCCTTGGGGATAATGGTGACGAATTATTGAATTATAACGTAATGACATTTCACATGAAGAACTTACATATAGGGCCTATAGGTGAGCGATATGGAAATACACACAACCATAGAGGCGAGTTTGCCTGTTTCTAACTTTGTGGTCGTTGCTTGTTATAATCTCTATATTCACCCGAAAGGACTGAGGCACACCACGGCAAACTGTGTTCACTTTTACCAGTATCCCGACCCACATTCGAAGCGAGTACCTCCCGCCTAGAAGTCTAGACAGGAATTAAACTCAGCCTGAACAGTAATGAAAATAATTTTAATTTGCATGGGTTTGGTGACAAATATAACACCACCGTTATTTTTTTTTTTTTCCAGAATTTGATGTAATTGATCCTTTAAGATGAAGTTTTGATTTTGCTGAGCCAATTGGCAAAATCCTCTAATATCAGATAAGGGAATTTTAATTTGCAGCTTAAAGAGCGGGGGGAAGTAGCTATTTTTGTGCAAGATTTCGGTTGAGATGTTTGAATTCGATGATATTTTAATTACGAAAGTCTAACTTCTTGCAACTAGGTAATAATGACGTTTCGTTTTAGTTTTTTGTTTATCCTGAAAAACATGACAAGAACTCACAATAGCTTTTCGAGTTTAAGACATTAGTAGGTTTGTAAGAAGAATTATTAGCCAGATTCTAGGTAACCCTGAGCTCTTATAAATGTTCTTCACGTATCCGACTTAACACTCACCGTTCTAGCAGATTTTAAATATTATTAATAAAATTCCTGTCTCACGCTGGTTTCTTG